TGAACTCATTCTGTTTTCCTGATGCGTGAGTTTATCACTATAAATTTTCCTCAGAAGACTGTTTTCATTGGATCCCATAAATTTTGGCATGTTATATCGGCATTATCATTTAGTTGTAAATACTTTTCAATTTTGTCTTTAATTTCCTCCGTGGTCCTTTGGTTGTTCAAAGGAGTGTTGTCTAATATCCATGTGTTAATGTAGTTTTTGTGATTTCATTTGTCATTGATTTCCAGTTCCATTGCACTATGGTCAGACTGTATGCATGGGATGATTTCAGTTCCTTTGCATTTACTTAAATGTGTTTTGCCAGCTAATGTATAATGTATTTTGGAGAACATCCCATGTGCAGCTGAGAAGAGTGTATATTCTGATGTCTTAAGGTGGAATATTCTGTAGACATCCACCAAGTCCATTTGCTCACAGGCTTGGTTTAATTCTGGTATCTCTTTGTTGATTTTGTCTAGGTGATCTATCTAGAGAGTAGAGTATTAAGGTCCCTCACTACAACTGTATTAGTGCTTATTTGTATTTTTTATGTCTGTTAATATTTGTTTTATGCAGTTGTGTGAATTTGTGTTTGGTGCATAAATATTATGATTGCTATCTCTTCTTCCTGAAGTTTTTCCGTAATTAAGTAATTCCTTAATGTAGTGACCTTCTTCATCTCTGTTGGTCAGTTTTGACTTAAAGGTTGTGTTGTCTGCAAATAGAAAAGCTACCCTTGCTTTTCTCTGGGTTCCTGTAGCATGAAGAATTTTTTTCCATCCTTTGAATTTTAGTCTATGAGCTTCTTTTTGGGTTAAATGTATTTCTTGAATGCAGCAGTTAAATATGGTAGGAACAAAGTTGGGGGCACAGAATGATCACCCAGGTTTTGAGTAATTGTAGGACATAGGAGAGAAGGAGTAAGAGAAGGCCTAGGTGATTTGAAGTGGATCAGAATGATAAGAGACAATGTTTATTCACATGAAAGTATCATAAAGTCAAGTGATGAAAGAATGGAAGAGGATGAGTAGAATAAAACAAAAAGAAAGGTTACAGATCACTTGTTGGATCCTACTGCTCATGGTGCATTGATATATCCATACCTCTAGTTCTGCCTGTCCATCGTGTGCACCTTAGCCAGGGTCCCACTGCATCACTAGCATTTGTACAGGTTTCCAGGCCCTGACTCTCACCACTGGAGACAGGATTCTCTCATCAGATGCACTGTCCCACCTCCTGTGTCAGTAGAGGAAAAGGGGAGCCGAATTCACACTCCTCACACCAGCTGTGCTATCTGAGTGGATGGAGGAAGGGCGGAGCTGAACCCAGACTCCCTCACCAGCCTGTGGTCCAGGGACAATGGACAAAGGGAGGAGGCTGTTTTTGGTTTTTTTGAGAGAGACTCACTATGCAGTGCAGGCTGGCCTTGACTTGCACATGTAGCTCAAGCTGGCCTCAAACTCACCACAATCTTCCTGTCTCAGCACCCCAAATGCTGGGATTACAGGTGTGCGCCACCATACTTGGCAAAATGTACAACTTATATTTTCACCTGATTATTCCTGTTGATTTGTTAACATTATCTATATTATCAGCTTTCTCCTACATCAGCTAGTACTCTCAGTACTATTTAAAGTTCTTTACCTGAATGAGGTAAGGTCTTTAAATCTGAATACAAATCAATACACATTTCCTTCATCAAGGACATCTTGCTATGAAAATAATGTCAGCCTGAAGAATTTGTTTACGACATAAGTGATTTGCATTCTGGTATGAGCTTCTCATCTCAGTGCAAATGATTAACAAAAAATTTGTGGACCACTCTTTAAATAGGACTTTTTTTTAAGGGTCTTGCTATGTTATAGCTCAGGCCTCAAATTCACAGTAGTCCTCCTGCTTCAGCCTCCCAGGTGTTGGGATTACAGGCGTGCACCACCATGCCTGGCTTAGACAGCACTACTGTACCACACTGTTGCGTCACTGTGGCCTCTAATTCCTCTCCAAAGTCTGTACACTTCATAAATTTGATCTTGTCTAGAATTGTAGTTCTTGATTGTTAACAATGTACTTTTCTTGTTTCTAGACTATTTTTTAGAGTTTTAAGAACTCTGACTTTGTACATCTGACTTCTAACAAAATTCTCCCATGTTGTATGACACACTATTTCCATCACACCCAAAGTTCCTTCAGGTTCCCACACCCCCAGCACTTGACCACCACTGATCTGTTGTCTATTCCCAAACTTTTACCCTTTCTAAAATGGCACATAAATGGGCTCATAGATTAATTTATTATGTCTGGCTTCTTTCACTTAATATGCTTTTGAAATCCATCCTAGTTGCTGCCTATGTAAGAAGTTCTCCCCTTCATAACACTGTGTAGCATTTCATCATATGGATGTGTGATCATAGCATGATTAATAGGATATTTAGATATACTGGATATCTGGAGTGTTCCTAGATTTTTGTAGCATAATAAGGTGACTAATTCTTTTTTTCTAAGACACTAATAGTAAATTTAGCCTAAATATTTTGCCAGTTTTCCTGTATTTATTGTATCACCCTGAGTTTTTTTCTAGTTTAATTACTTCCTCTTGAGAATGTCATCCAAGTAGATTTTTCATACTGATGTTCTTATTAAATCCTCACATTCTAGTGAAAATCTAGTTTTCATTAGGAAATTACAAGTTCAAAATTATTGTTCTTAAATATCTATTTTTTTAATTTTTATTTATATTTATTCATTTATTTGTCATTCTCGAGGATGAACCTAGAACTTGGCATGATTTCTAACACCAAGCAAGAAAAAGGGTCTTGTGACATTTCCAAATCAGTCTCTGACTCTATCCTCCTGCCTCAGCCTCCTGAGTAGCTGGGATTACAGGCGTGCAACACTTTGCCCAGTGAAAAATGCCCTTTCAATATAAGATGTATTTCTTCCTTTTAACTGTGGGACTTGACTTTCATTACGTCTTCAGATATCTCCTTTTCTTCACTTTCCTATCACTCCTTCTCTTGGTTCTACTTTTTATGTGTTAGAAAATTAAAAACTGAACTGCCTTCTTGTTACAATTTGTATCAAAAATGTCTCCTCAAATGCTCATTGTGTTGAAGGTTTAATCCCCAATGCAGCAACACTGTGAGGTGAGGCTTTGGGGAGGTGACCTGGTGGTGAGGGCTCTGACTTCACCCCTGGGAAAACCCACTGGTGAGATCATAATTTGATGGCCTTATTGAGAGGTGACAGAAGCAGGAGATGGAGGCTACTTGAGGGTCATGGAATATGAACTTGGGGACTATGTGTGGTCCCTGGCACATTCTCTCTGGTTCTCTCTCTCTCTCTCTCTCTCTCTCTCTCTCTCTCTCTCTCTTTCTCCCTCTCTCTGCTTCTGTCACATTGTTTCTGCTTTTGCAGGGCCTAAAACCAATGGAGCAAGTTGACCATGGACCGAAATCACTGAATCTATAAGCCAAAATCTTTCCACTTAATTTGTCTATCTCAAGATTATTTTGTCACAGCAACGGGACACTGACAATACACTTACCTTATTCTGACTTTTCCCACTGCCTCTGGAGAGGTGTTGCAACTGCTCTTCTAATCACTAATTCACCTTCAACTGCATCAACTCTATTTAGACCATATTATCAATAACTAGTATTGATACATACTCATTCTAATTTTTCTTACTTGCTCTCTATTTGTCTTAATTTCATGATATTTTTCCTGCATCACATTGCTAATATCATACCTCATCTCCTTAAATATATTTATCACATGTATTTAAAACTATAAGCCAGATGCACATGGCACTAATACTAGCTACTTGGGAGGCTGAGGTAAGAGGCCACAACTTTGAGGCCAACCTGAGAAACGTCCTTTTTTAAAGGATGGGGATATAGCTCAATGCAAAGTCTCTGGGGTCCATTCTCCAATCAGTCAGTTAATCAATCAATCAATCAATCAAGTCGCTCCATCTGTCTACTCTAATAATTCAGAGTCACACAGAATGTTATTCAATGGTGATTTTTTTTATATTTGCATTTGTGTCATATCCTGTGTCTTATGAATTCATGTCCTCCTGGAGTTTGCCCTACTCTGTCCCATAAACTTGCATCCAGGAGGGCCTGTTGTGTTTGGAGAGGAAAATCTGTGGTGGTCCCAGAGAACTCAGCACAGAGAACTATCCCTCACCTGACAAGTCTCCCAAGGCTTTACCAGACTCTTGCTGGAGTCCCTGAAATGAAGCAAAAACTTGGAGGCCCTTCGGCTGAAGCAGACTCCAGAGAGGTTATTCGCAGTTGTTTTTGTGAATTCCTCACCCCAGTAGCACGTCGGTGTGGGTCTGGTACTACTGAGAGCCTCTCACTCCCATAGGATCGCCAACCATTTCCTCAGTGAAGTCAGAGAAGGTACCAAGGCAACATGAAAGAGAGGTAAGGGATGCACCTAAAGGCTTTCATCCCACCACCTCTCCCCAAGGGAGCAGATCAAGGCTGTCCTCCGCCTCCCCAGGGTTATTTCTGCTTTTACTCTGTAGGACAGCCTGAAGGAGACAGCTAGTACCCTTGGGCTACAGTATCCGGAGGAGAAAGAAGCTGGATGGGAGACCCTGAAAGGTCTGCTGAAGAGCTAGCATGTGTCTTCCAGGGCTGGGTTCAACTGTGGTCTCTCTAAGTTACTAAGCTGAGTCTCCTTGACAAGCTGAAACACTGCTGCTTTGCGCCTCAGTTCCCCTCACCTGTAGACTAGGGATAACGACAGTTTCTGTGTTGGTGAGGAGAGAAGAATCTCGCAGCTCAGAATCCGGCACACGGTAAGTGCTGCTCATCTGTCAGCTGGGTGTAGCACACCAGGGCAAGTTTCCCACCCCTCAGGATGTGGAGACTTGACTTCCTGCTGGCCCGCCCGCAGGTCACTAGTCCGCAGTGCCTCGGCGCGCACCCCGGGGGCGCTGCAGCGCGCGGGGCTGAGGGCGGCGGGCGGGGTGTGGAATCCGGCCAGACGCGAGCTAACCCCAAAAGAGGTGGGCGGGAGCCGACGCAGAGAGAGCGCGGCTGCGAGGACGCCGGCCGGTGTCCGCGGGGCGGCGCTGCGCCCTGCGCGGGTGCCCGCTCTCCCGCCCGCGCTGCGTTGGGCTCGGTGCGCAGGGCGGCGAGGGGCGCAGGTCCCGGGCCCGCGGCGATGCAGTGCCTGGGCGGCGAGTACGTGGTGAGTGGCCGCAGCCTCGGCCGGGGAGAGCCCGCGGAGGTCGCGCCGGCTGCTGCGGGACGCTTTCGCCCCTCCCCGCGCGCCGCCCCGCCTCGGGGACACCTGGCCGGGAGCACTCAGGGCCGCACTCGGGCGCGGGGGCGGCGAGGGGGCGACGCTGGCCGCGGGTAAGAGGGGGCTGCAGCAGCTGCTCTCCCGGTAAGGAGTTGGCGCCCGAGACTTGACACACAGCTCAGAACAAGTGTTTCTAAAACTCTGTGAAAAAGCTGCGGGCGATGTTTAAATAAATCTAAATAAATACAAGATCGGTTACTTTGAGCAGTCTTGGAGTAGGTTTGGGGTTGGTTGGGACTTGCTGGTTGGTTTCCTTTTCTCAGCTTTCTCTCTCTCTGGAAGGTTTCCGAAGAGACAACTCCCAGGCAAAGAGAGTGGAGACCCCAGCTTTATAGGAAATGCACAGATACGGCATGGTTATTCCTGTTCTTTCTCTTTTGGACTGGTTTGGTAAGTGTGGATGGTTGGCAGGAAAGAGGCCAGTGTGTGTTGTGTGTCCCAAATAAATGTGCCTCAGATGTTAATTGCTTAAAGTTGTGCTGCAGTAGAGACTTCTGTCATAATCCCAGACTGAACGTTAATCCTTGGGGATTCTTGTTGAGCAGTTCCTAACCTCCTAGACCCTCTGGAGAGGCAGGCCCCCATCCGGTGGTTAATTTAATATTGATGTATTGCAAACATCTACTAATGAAAAAGAAGGGAAAGAAATGAGAATCATAGTTTGCAGTAGGACTGTATTTGCAAGGCAGACGTTCTTTTACCACTTGACACACCCTTAAATCAAATATTCCTCAAGATTTTGTTGCCCGTAATAAAGGAAAATCTAGGGAAAGCCTAGAAATGAATTACTAGTACGTTAGCAGAGCTTTACACACATTCTTGTATTGTGTGCAGCAGTTTGATAGGAACTGTCTAGTTAAGTGGGCAATGACAGTTCCCACTCTACCTCCTGCTGTGTGTGATTCCTGGTCATCTCATTAGGCTGTGCCATGGTGGTCCTAGGGGAATCTCAGGGAAGCTGAGTCTTGACGCTTTCATACTTACTTTAGAGTTGTAGAAGCAGCAGACAAAGCCTCACTCAACTTTTTCAAAGGCCGTGTTCATGAAATCATCCATGCCAGATGGAGGCGTGCTGTTTGGTGCCTGGTAAATGATTAATTTCTAAAGCCTGATAATAACTACCAGACAGTAATTACCTTCACTGAACAGAATTCAATTTGAACAGACTAAATACTGTGTTTGTTCTCTTTCCAACTAAGAAAGGCATTTGTTCTTATGTTGACTTTCCAGACTGGTTTCACATAGACAGACTTGGTTATAGGCCCAGTGGAAACCTGGACTTGAAGGGCGCATTCGTTTTTTTGTCACTGTTGCTTATATTGTGGCTCTTGAAACTCTCCTCAAGGAGCTGCAGTGCACCTATGCGCCTTCTGCTTACCTTCCCCACAGACTTACCTTCCCCACAGACGACCCTTTCTTTAGCTGACTTGGCTGCTGTGTAACTGTAGGAAGCAGGCGCCCTGCCTTGTGCCTGGCAACTTTGACCTTGCACTGTTGATGTTATTTAATGATTTTCTCCCAGCCGCTCCATGGTCCAGCCCAGTGCATCACTTCCAGACTCGGCCAGCAGCTGTCTGAAGAATTATGAACCAGCTGAGATATTGCACAGGATTGAAAACTGCTTTAACATTACATTTTATTTGCAAAATAAACCTGAAGGTTTCAGTATGCTCAAGTTCTCTTGACTATGTCCAGTTTTAATGAGAGCTCTTTATTAGCTGTCTGGCTTTTTATATCATCTGCAACATTTTTAGCCACAGATATGTATTTAAAACAGAGCAAGGAGTGTTTTATCCCCCCCCCCACCCCGCCTGACTTTTCCCTTTCTGGATTCTGTAATGGATGTCCTGACTGATCCTGTGCTGGACAGGATTATTATTTGATGGTGTTTTCCTGAGTTCTGCCTATATTTCTTCAGTGGCCTCATTCCCTTTCCTATTCATGGTTCAACACTCAATGTCCCTGATCTCCCCAGACACAGTTGACCTCCTCGGTGGCCATGCTTCCTGTGTTACCTCATTTGTAATTGCACTTTCGTGTTTGAAATTAGAAAAAGGATGGTTTGAAGTGCTAGTAGTGTTATGAAGAGGACTTAGGGAAACTCAAATCCTACTTGCTCCTTCCTTTAAAAACTATTGTCTTCCCCCACAAACTCTCCAAGAGAGAGAGCACATCCTAAATCCTGGTAAATGGACAGTGTCATTTCATTAACAGACCAGGGGTGCTGAGCAAAAGCTAAGACCCTTTCCCTCCCCCTAAGTCAAAACACAATCAGGACTCTGCACTCCAAGTTGGCAGAACAAGAGGTAGGCATGTAAAGGGTGGGTGAGCTTGCTGTGTCAGCCACATGGGCACAAAGTTGTGCCACACTCACAACTTTTAAGTGAAGGATGAGTTATCTTGTCTGCCAGCTCAGGTGACCCGTTCTTTCTAAAATCTGGTCATTTGGATCAGAGGTCCTGAGCAGGAGCCTGGGCAGGGAGCCTTCTTCCCTACAAGGCGTGCAGTTGGTAAGCACTGTTCTCTTCCACACTGAATGTTGTTCATCTTTGTGTCCCCCAGTAGTAGACTTTGACCCACACTGGGCACTTGAAGAATGTTTGTTAGCTTTATTTCCAAGTTAGTAGTGAATGCACAATATCTGCAATGTATTTGTCTTTGGGACAGTATACCTTTGGGAAATATATCCACACTGTAAGTTACTGAATGATATATTGTAGCCTCTGTCCCAGAAGACTTCTTAAGTATGGTGCACAGTAGTCAGTGATACTTTATGTATTGTAGATCAGGAAACTTGCAGCCAGACACATAGTCTTAACAGAGGATTGTCAAATGTATTAATGCAACAGTTGTTTAATTGAAATATCAAATATTCACAATGGGTAAAAAGGATTAATGGTCGCAAAATATTCTTGCTGACAAAATTCCTGAAATTGTTTTTTCTTAGGTTCTTTATTTTTGTGACTTTGAACTAGTTGTGCCAAAATACTATTTTTGTATTTGTGACTTGTGTGGCCTCCACAGAGTTCACTAAAAGTAAAGACAAAAAGAATATTTTCAAAAGCAGAAAGGAACACAAAAAACTTCAGGAAAAAATAATTAGCATAGCCTTGATGCACTTAAATAAACCACAAACCTCAAGAAAAAAAAAAAGTGAGTTGTCCCCGTAAAGTTTAGCCCAAAATAAAAAGTTACAGACTCTTGAAGAAGAAAAATAAGTTGATAGAGAAGTAAGAAAATGGAGGAAATGGAGTGGAATCTGAGTGTTTGTGGATGCTCTTCCAACCTAAGCTGCTAGAACCAGCCTGCACCCAGAATCCTGATCAATCCTGGACAGTTTGTGTCCCGCCAAGGTGAGGGGAAGTACCATGGCGCTGGAGACACTTGTGTTTCACTTGGTTCTGTTTTACGTCAGTGTCCTCAGATGGGGGGGACGGTCTTTTCTGCCCTGTGGTCTCACACACCCTAGGTTTTGCTAGGTGTTCATCATGGGCTACTCGGTGGTGGCAGGAGCTACAGGACGACTCCTCTTTGGCTACGACAGCTATGGCAATGTATGTGGCAAGAAGAACTCCCCGGTGGAAGGGGCCCCCCTGTCGGGACAGGACATGACCCTCAAAAGGTAAGTGTCTGTCTGTCTTCCAGGAAACATGTTTTATTATTCAGCTGGAAAGAAGGCTAAACATGAGACTTCTATAGGTAAATGGATGCAAATCAAGACCACACTCATAAGTGAAATAAATCCGACCCACGTGTGTAAACATCGTTCTTACTGTCTCAACGTGAGAAACTGAACAAGTAAATAAGATCCAAAGTGTACAATAGATACTGTGAATTGGGAAGAAATTGTTCAAAAGAAAAGACAAACTGTGATGGAGGGAAGGGGAAAAGAAGAAAGAGAAAAAGGAAAAATAAATTTATACACCAGATAGTTAAGGTAGTTTTTCAGCTAGGTTCTCTTAGTTCATTGGAAAGAAAAGTTTGTGCTATTGTTTGAGCAAGATATCATGCCTGCATTTTGTAACTACTCTGAAGACAATGATAAACAATGTATTCATTGTTGTAACTCTCCTACTAAACTGTTTTGAAATTCTCCTTTATTTTTGTTCTTTTTTTCTATTAAAAAAAAAAAAAAAAGAACAGAAAAATTGTTTAACGTAAGTCCCCCAGCTATAGAGGGGCTGTATTTCAGAACTTGGTAGAACTTAGTCGTTTGGACCCTTGAAACTGTTTTCCTAAACAAAACTCTAAGCCTGTCTCATAAAAAGAGAGGCCAGATGTGTGGTAATCAGGCCGCCAGTGTAGAACCAACCAATCTTAAGTGCAGATTCAATCTCTGCTACTTTTCATTTCTGTGTCCTTGCACCAAATCCTTAGCCTCTCCAAATCCAGTTTTCACCTTTTTAAACTGGTAAATATACTTATCTTACAAAGTTTGTTAAAGGATCTACAGAGATTCTGTGTGAGCTCAAGCATAATAAATGTTAATCATTAGCATTATTATCCATAATGTGTCAGAATCCCAAAAAACACAAGTGCTATATTATTCCACTTACGTGAAATGTCTAAAGCAGTCAAGATCAAAAATAAAGTAAAATGGTGGCTGTCAAGGAGAAGGGAAAACGAGTTGTTTAATGGGAACAGAAGTTTAGTTTTGCAGGCTGAAAGGAGTTCTCTGCTAGATGGTGGTGACAGCTGCACAGCAGTGTGAACAAACTTAATGCCACTGAACTGCACGTAAGGTGATTAAGATGGCAAATTTTGTGGATATTTTAACACATTTTTAAAAATTTAAAACAAAACCCGTTCCCCTCTCCGTGTGCCCTGCCTTCCCTTCTCCTGTTCCCGGCTGGGAAGAAGGCAGCTCTGGGTGCCCTGTCAAGGCTTGTCCCATAGCGGGCACCTACAGTGCTTTTCTGACATCCCATGATCTCAACCGCTGGGCAAGCGCTGGGCACCGAGAGCTGCCCCACCAGCACGGAAGCACAGAACACATTAATGGCAACGACCAGTTTTGTTCACGTGAGCTGACTTACCCAACTTCTGAATGATTGCAGGGAAGGTTGCCTCAGAGTCCTGGCTCTGAAACTGCCCTTAATCCCCAGCCTTGGACCTTTCTTTTCCTCTTACTTCTTCTTTGTATTCAGCTATTCTCAGAAGTATATTTGAACAGTTTGGGGTACAACTATGCTTTGCAGGGATTCCTTAGAGTCCTTTTTGCCCCAGCAGTGTCCTAAGATTAGCTTCTTTTCTCATCTGTCTCCTTAGACACATGTTCTTTATGAATTCCTGCAACCCAGAAATCAAAGATACGAGGCTCGGTTCCACTGCCCTCTGTGTGTCCAGCTGTCCTGAAGAGCAGCTCAGCACTCTGGAAGAGATCCAGCTCTTTGCAGACACCAATGGTAGGCACCAAGGGACTGACTTTCCCTCACCCCATTATAGAGTAAGTCTGTAGGCACCTTCATGGTTATCTTAGCCTGAGCCTGCTTTTTCTGGAAGGCTGTGAATTATATGCTGCTTTGTAGGTGCTTCCTTTTTTTTTTTTTTTCTGTTTTTTCACACAAGGTTTCACTATGCAGTTCAGACTGGCCTTGTAACCCGGGCTGGCCTCAAACATACAGTGATCCTCCTGCCTCAGCCTTCTAGGTGCTAGGATTACAGGTTTGCACCACAATACCTAGCCACAAGTGCTTTCTCTTGTGTAGAAGACCAAAAACATTTTCTTATGAATTTGCTCAGTTTCGTGTATTTTTTGGAAACTCAGGCTGCTCTGTGTGTGCTCCCTGCCTGCTACAGTGAAATGAGCATTCACAGAGAGCGCGGAGGAGACAGCAGACCTTCAGAGCCCAAAGGTGGAGACTGAACTGTGTTTGTTCTCTGCTGAAATTGTTAGGAGCCAGTGAACACTTTCATTGGGCAACAGGATAGTTGTAAATTGTACCAAAAACATTTGTGTAACTAAAGTAACTTGCTCTGAGCCCACTGTTTAGATCTATGTCATGAGGATTAAACAAAGGAGAGTAAAAGGAATTTGAACCAACCCACTACAAATTTTATGTGCCTGACAAATGGAAGACCAGATTCCTAAAAATTGTTTGCAAAGCTAAGTTTAAGAAATCAAGTTTTGATAATAGATTATCTTCAAGTGACCTTCAAATCATTTTAGTACTAGTCATATAACCAACCTTAGATTTAAATTTGGAGTTTGGAGAGAACTTAATCCCAGTTTATATGCCTGTGTTAACAACTTGTTCTCTGAAGTGGAGTGAGGTCTTCTATCCCCTTCCTGGCTTGGTAAAATCGCTGTGCTTTTCTTGTGATCTCCCCTGGGAAGCTGTGTGCAGTACAGGAAAATAGTACAGTCTGCATGTCTTCTCTTCCAGGGTCTTTCCTGTGTGTGTATAGTTTGAATTCCTTCAACTACACACAGAGTCCAAATGCAGACTCATTGTGTCCCAGGCTACCAGTTCCTCCCAGGTAAAAGCTTCCATTCTTCTTCTTTGTCCATGAATGAAAGTATTGAATACTTGTGAAAAATCTGTTACCCTAGGCATAGTGGAAAGCAAGAGGAGACACTAGTAGAGTACCTGCCTACAGGGAGCTTAAGTCTACCCGAGGCCAGGAACAAATAAGAAAGAACTATTTGCAAAATCCTTAATGAACAGTGAAGTAGTAACTAGGCTAACTAAGGAGAAAACTCAGCAAGCAATAAAGATATATGTAATAATAATGCTAGAGCTAACAAAAAATATTAAGCTTTACCAAGTGAGTGATTTTATAAAATGGTTATAAAATGGTTGGTGTATATTTCTTCTGCAGCTACTTATTTCAAAGTAGAAATCATCTACATTTTCTTTTTCATTGCAACCACACATTATTAGGTTTTATGGTTTTAGATTCTTGCATAAGAACCAGACATGAGAACCCAGGTGTGGTGGCATACGTCTTTAATCCCAGCTGCTTGAGATTGCAAACATCAGGGGGAAGCATGAAGGGACCACAGTGAGGATCACAAATCTGAGACTAGCATGAGCAACTTACCTGCACTCAAAACAGAAAAATAAATAGTCTGCAACTCAGTGGTAGAGTGCCCCAGGTTCAATCTCTAGTAACTACACTGCCAGAAAAAGGGCTGTGAGGGAAGGCCAAAGGGTCCTAGCTTTCTTCTCTGAACACAGAAAGTCCTTATCAAGAACACACTGGCTGAACTCCTGACAGAGTCTTACTCTTGCCTGCCAATTAGCACAGTGTAAGCACCTTATAAATTTTTGTCAAGCTAATGATGAAGCAGTGATAGCCAGGGTGAATGGTTTGTGTGTGTGTATCATTGAGAAGGCTAAGAGGAAAAAACACAGTTCACTGCCATCACCTCAAAGTGGAGGATTTGGGTTGATTTTGCACTGCCATTATTTTGAAAAATGTGAGTATATATGCCATGAGTAAGAATTCCACAATATCCATGAGAAATAATAATTTAAGTAGAACAACGCATTTTGTGCCCAACATCTAGGACTATGTTTATCAAGCAAATCAATTTGGTTAAGACCGAAATAAATTTATTATATCATAACTTCAGTACGTACAAACCTTCATACTTACTTAATATAAAGCAGAAAGAGAAATGGCACAAACAAGACTCCTCTTACTCTGTATGACTCACAATAATAGCTCCTAATGTATTGCTCTTTAAAATATATACATATAATTTATTTTATAATCTTCTGATTGCAAGTTCAGCTAGAAAAACGCTTATCTTCCAGATACTCTAGAAAGACTCAAGTAGGTAGTCACTACATAGGAGACAGAATATACTTAGCCATCTTGGTGACATTTTTTTTAAATTAATACTTATGGGTTATCAAAGGAAATTATTTGCAAATGAAAGTACTTGTTCTATTTTTTTTAAGTCTGGCTATTGTCAGATATCATAGTCATTTCTAAATTAAGCATAATTTAACCCAGGGGAAGAAAAATCTAGAATGTTTGAGCAGGTCGAAGGAAAATTATTTAATACTTGGTGAGAAGGATTCTTTAGGAACATTAATGTGTAACTGTAGCTGCAGTTGAAATTGAAAAAGAAGGCTGCCTTTTAAGTGAAATTGACAAACTCTCCTGTTGCTGTAAATAGGATGACAATTATACTTCCATGGGAACTTTATGTCTTACATAAGGTTGATGATGATCAGAGCAATCATGTTGAGTGGCTGATATGTACTAGATACTTTTCTAAGCTCTTGAAAACCCCTTGTTTTAATTTATGTGAACCTCACAAACCTGCTGTAGGTGTTGCTTTCATCATGGTTTTATAGCTGAGAAGACTGGTACAGGGAAAGTTTAAGTACTACAGTCAGCAAGTAGAAAAGCTGGCATTCAAACCCAATCAGTCACGGCTAGATAGGACTGCTGGCAAGTGGCTTGGTCCAGATCATGCCTGGGAAAGGAATATGTCCGGACCAAGTGTCCTCCAGTCACTGTCTCTGTCACCTCTCAAGCCAGTCCTTTCACCTTTACTTCCAATACTAATATATATGTGTGTGTGTGTGTATATATATATATATATATTTTTTTTTTTGAGACAAAGTTTCACTGTGAAGTTCAGGCTGGCCTTGGACTCACAAAGTAGCCCATGTTGGCCTTGAACTCATGACTATCCTCTTGCTTCAGCCTCCTAAGTGCTGGGATTACAGGCATGCACCACTGCTCTGGGCTGTAATAAGAACACAAAACTATTGGTTGACCTTTCTTGGATGAAGTGAGCAAGACAGAAATAGGCTCGAGGGATCCGTTTCCTTTTTCTACACAAGCAACTGTTTGTTTAAGACAGAAATTATCATACTTATCACAGAAGAGCAGTGCCAAGATTTAAAAACTAGAAAACATGAGAAGTATGGCTGTCAAGCCAAAGAACATTCTCTAAATACCACTTTTTGACCACAATGAATGTTTCTTCTTCCTCTGTTAATCGTAGTAGGTATAGCACACCCTTTTAGAGCAATAGCTGGATATCAAGAGGGTTTTATACTAGGTATGAGCTTTTAAGAGTAGTGAAAAAGCACTGCAGAAGATAACAAGCAAGCATATCTTTTTCCTTTTGGTATTCAGCTTAGTACTGTATTTTGAGCTAAAAGGCTTAAAGGTCCCATCAACCCCCAACAGAATCTGCTTTGGAACCTCCCACATAGGTGCCCGTACTTGGAACCGGAATGTTTGCTCAGAGAAATTCCACATACCTAAATATACAGGTAGCTCTCCAGATTACTTCTTACACAGTTAGAGTGGCTTTGCTAATGGTAAGAAGAAAAGCAGAAATGGGAAAGAAACCTCAGGCTGCACTAAAGTTTATCCATGCCGAGCTAATGACATCCTCAGTGGGTAGCCTGCCAACCCAACAGGGGTGGCCCAAGCTTTACTTATTTTTCTTGGTTGCCTGTGGGGTTAAGACGAGTTCTTTACCAGCACATGGTTATTTAACGTGTAAAAGGCACCATGGTTAACAAAACTCTGTTGACAAAGTTAAGGCCTTATGAATAATTATGTTTTGAAGCAAAATGAAAAAGTGGTATTAAATCTGTAGCTGATTTTAATTTTAAGAAACACTAAATGAAAGTTCAGAAAACATTTGAGAAGAGGTCTAGAGGTAGTATAGAGTGCTTGCCTAGATGTGTGAGACCCTAAGTATGCACCTCAGCACCACAAAAGAAAAAAAAAGATAGAAGTCAGATTTACAGGGGTTAAGAATCTTTTTAGCAGTAGAGAAGAAAAAGAAATTAAAGGTTTGAAACTTGGAAAGCAGCAGGTAAAATTACTTTTCTGCAAATGGAATGATTATAGACCTGGAAAGTATGAGAATTAACCAAAAAGCACCTGTGAACAGTAAGAGAACTCTTAGGTGGCAGGCAGAAGATTAAAGTATGAAATCCATACACTCCTGTACTTTTAAAAATCTTCCTTGTACCTCAGCAAGAAAAAAACACATATAAAACCGACAAAAGTGCCTCGAAACCAATTTAACAAGAAGTACGTAAAAACTGTAGAAAGAAACCCTGAGTTTGTTCTTGAGGTACAAAGAAATTCGAACAAATGGAAAGGCTTACTGTGTTCTTGACAATGTACTTTAACAGTACAAAGATGTTATTTCTCCCATATATATATATGTATAGAGAGAGAAAAAGAGAGAAACTTAGTACTTTATAAAACTGGCATCATTAGGTCAATGACAAAAGAGGGACTGATGAGCAAACAGTATTGTACAATCAGGAAAGCTGGATTTACACCTCATGCCTTATATGGATAAAGTCCAAATGAATTAAAAATTTTCAGGTATAAAATGAAACCAGAGACAGACGTGGTGGTATATGCCTGTAACCCCAGGACTCAGGAGGTGGAGGCAGGTCGATCATCTCAATTTCGAGGCCAACCTGGATATACTGTGTGTTCAAGGCCTGCCTGAACTACAGTGATTCCCTTTATTTAAAAAAAAAAAAAAAGAGAGAGAGAGAGAGAGAAAGAAAAGAAAAATGAAACCAGAAAGTACTGAAACAATCCAGGAGAGAATTCTTTTATAACCTGAGAGTAGAAACGTTTCTAACCATGTGATACCATAAAGCAAAAAAATTTTGGTAAATTTGACTACATTGTAAAACATTTTTCTATAAGAAAAACATTAAGGCACAGTTAATAGGCAAATATTTGCAATTTACATAAGAGATTCATTTCTCTAATTTTTGAAAGATCTTACAAACCAACTTTTGAAAGAGCATTGTCTCAGTATAAAATCGTGTGTGAGTAGGTGCTTCAAAGGAAAAGCACAATATTTCTTAAGCGTAGAAGAGGCTGACTGGCTACCGTGTTCTCTCACTGTAGCCTGCTCTCATCCTGTAAAGTGCACTTATTTTTCTGCTTTTACTTAACCAAAAGTCACTCTGTAGAGCCTGTTTCTTTGCCTACTTTAAATAAATAAAAAGGATTTAAAAAAGGAACAAGAAGGAGGAGGTGAAGAGGAAGAGGTTGCACCTTCCTCTGATTGGATACATCGCATCTGAATCCCTAGTGATTTCATACAGCTGACCATGAGTCTCCAGGGTTTAATGACATTGCTGTACTTGTCCAGGCTGTGCAGAAGTTGCCACTTTCAGGTAGTCCTGTGTCAGTGTCCTAAGGAGGGCAGTTTATCTGTATCCACCAGTTACAAATGTATGGAGCTTTTAATCAAGCAGACCTGCTTATAGCAATGCAGTCTACATCTATTGTTGCACCAGTGTGAAACGGCTTTCTTGCAGGGTTATTCACTATTTGTAATAGCAAAAACTTTAATCTAAAGGCGTCTCAAAAGAGAGCTGCTTATCAGCTCTCAGAGTTCTGGGATTGCTTAAATTATGGTACATAATGTAACATTACTCAGCTTTTTTTTAAAAATAAGAGACTAGAAAACTAGGAATAGCTGAGAAATTTCTCAGTCAGATAAAGCATATCTATGAGAAATCTACAGTTCCTATTATTCGCAGTGAAACACTGAATGCTTTTTACTTAAAATTAGGAACAGGCAAGGATCTCTGTGGTTACCACTTCCATTCAACTTTGAAACAGAGGTCCTGGGAACTGCTGCAAAGGACCAGAAAGGGAAGGAAGAAGTAAAATCATTTTTGTTTACAGAAGAATGACTGACTATGTAGAAATGTCTTGTAGAAAGAAATCTACAATATAACTGCTAAGCAAATTGAGCAAAGAAGCAAGACTCAAGTCAAATTGTATTTCTCTATACTAACAGTAAATAACTATGAAATAATTTTTTAAGCCTGTCTTCTACAGAATTATACAATACTGGGAAATACAGTTATAGACAACATCAAAAACCTCAACTGAAAGCTTTAAGACAGTACTGAGGAAAATTCAGAATATTTAAGTGGAGAATTACACTTAATGTTTTAATATTGTTAGAATGTCACTTCTCCCCTAATTGTTCTGTGCATTCAGCAGATCTCTCCAACATAATTTTGTAGAAAGTAATGTTTATTTCTCCAAAATATAGAAAAGCCAGAATCACAAGGAAAGTCTTGAAGAACAACAAAGTTACAGGACAGATTTGAGGTTGTGTAGTTAGAATGATGAAGACAGGCATGGACACAAGGACAGACAAATACATAAGTGTCACTAAATAGAGTGTGCTGAAATGGAGCTACAGAACATGATCGATTTTTAATGAAATGCCATCCAGGCAGTTTCTTGAGAAAGAGAACTCTTCAAAATGGTGCTGAAACAAGTGGAAAGCCAGAGGAGACAAATTCAGACTTTTTATTTCATGCCACATACAAAAATTAATTTATGATCTTAGACCCCCCCAAAAAAAATAAAAGAGTGAAAACTACAAAAGCTTTTAGGAGAAAACATAAAAGAATATTGTTATTGCCTCAAAAGAGGTAAAGATTTCTTTGAGAGGACATAAAAGCACTATGAATAAAAGAATAAATGATATATTTAATCAAAATTAAAAATTTCCACTCATCGAAGACACGATTGATAAAATGGGGGGCCACAAACTTGGATAAAATATTCACAATGCATGTATATGTCAAATGACAGCAGGATATATAAAGAATTTTTAAGTCAGGATCTGCAATATTTTTCTGTAAAAGGTCAGATGATAAATATTGACACCTTGTTGCAACTACTCAAGTATTGCCGTGTAGAGGAAAAGGACTCATAGAAAACACTTAACAAAAGTGCTTTATGTATGAAAACAAGCAGGGAGCTGAAAGTTGGCTGACTCCTTCCTTAAATCAGTAACAGGGCAAACATCCCAATAAAATCAGATGAAAGACTTGAACAGTTACCACAATGAGGTAACACAGCTGCTAGAAGGGTTAACAATAAGAATTAACCACACCAAGAACTGGTGGAGAGGTAACAGTAGGTATGTATTTCAAGTAGGGGTGTGAATAGGGGGACCAGTTTGGAATCAGCAGTTTCTTTTTTCCCCCTCCTCTCTCTCTCTCTCTCTCTCTCTCTCTCTCTCTCTCTCTCTCTCTCTCTCTCTCTCTGTCTCTTCCCCTCTTTCTCCTCCTGGGAATTAAATCCAAGGAGCATTAAGTTATATCCCCAGCACTTTCTTAAGCTTTATTTTGAGACAAAATCTCAATAAATTGCCCAGGCTGGTTTTGGACTTGTAGTCTCCTGAATAGTTTGGATTACAGGTATATGTCAAGATGCTCAGTGCAGTCATTTCTCATAAAATTAAGCACATACTATCTGACTCAATAATTCCACATTTAGGCATTTACTCAAGAGAAATGAAAAAGTGTATCCATAACTTATATGAATGTTTATAGAAGCTTTATTTCTTACAGTACCAAATTGTAAACAACTCAAATAGTCACCAGAAAAACAAATTGAAGTCTACTCCTACAGTAAAATCATAATGGGCAGTTCAAAGGAATGATACGCTGATGCATGCATAGACTGAGTGAAATAATCTTGAACACGAACAGAGTACATATTCTGTCATACCATTCACATAGGATTGTACCAACATCCTACATAGTTACAAAAATCAGACCAGTAGTTCCTATTAAGAGATAGAGATTGATTGGCAGGGGGCATGAGGAAAGTATCTGCAGTGATAAAAATGTTCGTATTGAAAGGGGTGGTGGTTACTTGGATGTGGGAGGTTTTTTAAAGTTTCTAATTGTATGTTGAAGATCTATGCCTTTGGGCTAGGGCTTAATTTCGTTATAAAGCACCTACTTACTTAGCATGCTCAAAGCCATGAGATCAGTCTCCAGGGCTCGGAGGAAAAAAAAACTCTAAAACTTTCATTGTACTATGTAAATTTTACCTCACTAAAAATAAGAGCAATCCTTTATATTCTGATATGAACAGAGCTATAAAATTGTGTGTGTGTGTGTGTGTGTGTGGCACTGTATTGGCAGTATAAAGTATTACAGAACAGTGTGCAGTGTGCTGCCTTGTATAAAACAAATCATAAGTGATTTATGCATGTGTGTGTCTATATATATACATATATATATATATATATACACTTGCATGACCATTACATCAAACAAACAGAACCTGTAGGATATAGTCATAAAGAAGTTATTTCCCCCCCCCCTCTGATTCTTCAAACGTGTTCAATGGAGCTAGTTGGTTTTTTCTGCTCTTGAATAAAACCAAGTAATTTCCAAAGCTTCTCTGCTTGCTTTTAGTTTCTAAGTATTCAGTTGCTTTTAGTTGTAAAGGACACTTACAACTGGGCAATTAAAATGTGAAAACGTTGCAACTTGATGGGAAATTCAGCGTCTCGCCTTCCCAACCTGGAGCAGAAGCTAGCAGCAAGGCTGAGGCGCTGGCCGGCAGCTGTCGTCAGCGGTTTCTCCCTCTTCTAGTGCTTGTTTTATTCTTCCTCTCCCAGCTTGCACAAATGCATTTCTGACTCCTAGGCCAGAAGAATAAAAGTGAAGAGAAGGAAAGAAGGGACTAAGAATGTCTTCCTGTGACTGACACCGACACCAGGGTCCCCTGAGTGCAGAGATGCTACAGGAAGCCCTGTCTCTCATGGGCACTTTTTAGGTTCTTCAGGGCTCTCAGCAGTGATGTCCTTCACATGCAGTAATCTGTCCCCTTATTCAAGGTTTTACTTTTCCATGTTTCAGTTACTCAAGTACAACCACAATCTCAAAATAGTACATGGAAAATTCCAGAAGCAAAAATTCCTAAATTGCATCCCATTCTGAATAGCATGAAAAACTATTTTATTATTGTTTCTCATTGTGCCTAATTTATAAATTAAATTTTATCAAAGTAATATATGTACAGAAAAAATATGTAGAGTTCAGTACTATAACATTTTAAAAGACAAATATATAAACATTTTGCCATCAATTCTTTATTTTTTAGCAAGTCTTTCCCCTTGTTTAACCGGTGCATACCTCAAACACCTGAGTGCTATTCCCTGTTTGCATCTGTTTTGATAAATGATGTTGACACGCTCCATCAAATTCTAAGTGGAATTATGTCAGGAAGAGACACCATCCTTGGCCTGTGTATCCTTGCATTAGGTAATTTTCAGTTTATTTTAGTAACTACTTGTATATCATAGTTTCTGGCCCTTTGGTATGTATCACTGTGAAAATTGGCTCTTGATTTAAAATATAAAACTTCATATTTATTTCCTTTCCAGATATTTTCAGTGTTTTAGGTACAAATGGAGGAAGGGAAAGTAAGAATGGGAAAAGACCAATGGGCTCTCTGCCAGAAAGCTTCGCTGGGTGTGGTTGCTTTGATAGACTGATCATGTTTGTGTGTGGTCCTCAGCTCTGCACAAGAAACACATAGGTGGTGCAGATTGCCAATTAATGGATTGGCCAGGAAGAGTACAGCCATTGGGGAGACTAGAAACCATGTGTTTGGACCCATGGGCCTTCTACTTGGATCACTCAATCCAAATTAGAGAAGGGGAAGGAGGAGTGTGTATCCATGTTAAACAGACTAAGACTGCAATGCTAACGTTTCCAACTCCTCCAGAAAAACACTTGCTTTGGGTTCTAGGCAGAGGAGAGCATCAAGCATAGCTGTGCCTCCTGCAGGCATTTGTGAAAGCAGCTACCCATTCTTGCCCTTTGATTTCCGTTTCTGTGTTTTGGTTTACTGAGCCAAAACACCCAGTAACATATTTCTGCCAGGTTACAAATTAAATTTCTTAGTGTCATTACTAAAAGGTTACTTAAGTCCTGAATACTTGAGAAAAAAACTAGTCACTATCATGTAGCTTCCAGACTTTTTATTTTGACTGAATGTGATTTCGAATGACCTGAATAAAATAGTTTTGACTCCCAGATTCTACCATAGTAACAGATACCAAAAAATCCGTTTAGTCCTACTGTCAGATATGATGACCTCAAGTCCCCAGGAGGGACCGTAAGTTAGATTCATAATGATATTAACAGTTGCCATTTACTGAGCCATGTGCCAGGCATTGTGTTTCTTCTTAACTCATTAAAATCTCACACACTGCTGCCCCACTCTAAGAAGACACAACTGAGGCTGAGAAGCGGAAGTGAAGTAGCCATAGTTGCATAGCTAGTGGGAAACACAGTAGAGCTGACTTAAACCTAGACAGGTATGATTCCAAGCCGTGCTATTAACCACTACACTGAAATATCTGTATGCAATCCTGACATTTTTAGAGAAAAATAAAATACTATTTATGTATTACTGAAATATTTAGAAAAATATATGTCTGAAAGCCCATATATTAGGAAATGAAAATGCATATACAGCTTGCTTTATGTACTTTGCAAATACAGCTTACTTTATAATTAGAAACTTAAAAGTTTCGTGTTAAATTCATTATTCTTTTAGAGTTAATAAAAATACCTAAGAACATCTACAGTTAGAACTTACATAAGCCCAGTGTGAAAAGACTTAGTATGGTAAAATTTTTTAGTAATTCATTTGAACTTTTAAGGAGAAAAACTTAAATATTTGGTAGTCAAATACCATCTTTTTAATTTATTTTTTAATTCAAGAAAACTTTTCAGGGTGTGGTTTACTGTAGGTGACCAAGTTTATGCTGTAGGGGACACCATGGGGGCAGGGTCTTGTTATTTCTAGTGGGTATTTGGTCTACAGACCAAGATATTTGAAGGTTGAACAGAACCGCAACCCTCACTTTTCTGGGGTGAGGGCATTGGTCACCTCAGTTTACCATCGTCGCCCTCGCCCTTTGCTGCTCTCTGTGCTCATGAGTTTTACTTCATTTTTCAGCGTTGTCTTTGGCCATGATGCTCATGTTCCGATTCATCACCACTCTTCTGGTTCACCTTATCATTTCATTGGTTATTTTGGGATTATTGTGTAAGTATTTCTTTTGAATTGATTTCTTCTTTATTTAATGAAGAGACTTTTCATTAAGTGTAGAGCTCAGGAGTTGGCATTTTGAACTACATGGAATCTTAGAGAGTATCTAGCCCCATTATTTTATATGAGAAAATTCCAGCCCTGGCAGGACAATGGGAATTGCTTATGTCCACAGATAATGGCGAAGATCACACCAAATCTGATGTTGCATCTACTATGCTACACAACCTGCCACCTGAGTAATCCTGGACCGTGCATTAAGAGAGAATTCTGGTGCCCGATGATAGCATTTTGAAGGATTTCTTCTGAACCTGCACTCACTAGTGAGTGTGTGGATGCCGCAGGTGTCATGCAAAGCCTCTGGCCAGTCTGAAGCATAACCTGGAACAGTCACAGCATCCCGGAAGCCCTGCTGTTTCCCTGTCCATTGCTGGATTGTGGGTCTCCCCAAGGCTTATTGGAAAGAGGATTTCAGGGGCAGGAGCATGCCTGAAGCTTGAAGATATTTACCAGTCAACGCAGGATATTTTAATTTTTAATGATTCATATGGCTGCAGCATTTCATTCTTCTGAAGACTCAGCTCTGCTTTCAGCAATGTAGAGCCCTAGAGCACTGTGTTGAGGAATAGGTCCTGGAACTTGTAAAGGATGCTTTCCCCATGTACAATTAGTAGATGACTGGGACTCCTTAGAGACACTATGGAAATAGTATATGGTAGCTTTTTCTACTTGAATACAAAGTGTTTGCCATGTGAGAGTATCCTCAGAATAAGCATCTAGTTTACATGATTCCCACAAGCCATGCGGGACAATAAGCAATTCCCATTGTCCTGCCTGGGCTTTCTGGGTGATCAGTTGCCTGCAGAGTTTGTTAGAACATTTCAGACCTTGTACTCCAATGTCATTTCTCCTGTCATCCTGTTGGGTGCAGTTTCCTTCCTGTTTCCACCCACATCTGACCTGTGGGGTAGACACCTGTGCTGTGAGGTCACCTTCCTGGGTCACTCAAAGACCAGCAGCCATCCTGGGACTGCCAGGTCCTTTGCAGGGTCCTCTTCCAGAGGAAGCTGTTGGCTCTAAAGTCCCTGAGAATTTGGGACCTACAGCCCATGCAGGGCAGCTGAATCTGCAGCAGGGGCTGGAGTTGTGTGAGGTTCTGCATGCCAGAGGGGGATGGCTATCGCGGAATGTATAAGCCCTGCTGGTATTTTGTCTTCTAGTTGTCTGCGGTGTCTTATGGTGGCTGTATTATGACTATACCATTAACCTCAGCATAGAATTGGACACAGAAAAGGAAAATATGAAGTGTGTACTGGGGTTTGCTATCGTATCTTCGATCATCACGGTATGAAACACCTTCCCAGCAGTGAGTTGACTAGCCAGCCAGGGTCTGAAATTCTAATCATTGAGTTCTAGTGAAAAAACAACTAGCATCTGTGTTTTGTTTCATTTTGTTTGTTTCACCTCAGAATATGCCTGCATGATTCAGTGCCTTCCTTGGATTTGAGATAACCTGTAAAAGAATACATCAAAACTTTCCAAAAATAGAGAAAAAGTTTTAATTCTTTCCAAATCATTTCCGTCATCTCCCAGAGACTGATTTGTTATCCTCGCTGTTGTAAAGTGAATGCAGTGAGGTGGGAGGGCACTGGTTTATGACTGGTCCCATTTCCTGTGTGCCAGGAGTGACACCCCTTCCAGCCAATGAATGCTGTGCTCTCCTCAGGGTGCGACAGCCGCCCCTGCCTTAGGGAACACAGAGCCCTTTGTTTCCAACCTGCCGGCCGCTGGGTTGTTTTGGTTTCCAGGGAACCTGCTGCCTCCTCAGTGAACTCTGTAATTGGAAACAGGGAATTTAGAACATTGAGGCTGCAGGTTGCTGGTGGTTGAGGAAGAGTGGTTTATTAACTAAAACTCATTCAGGTCACTCTCTAGGTGGCAGTAAAGAATGCTAGAATCCATTAGACCCTGGGTAGGGTTTGGAGTTGATTTCACATAACTCATGGTCCAATGTTCTACAGAGCAGCCAGGGGTTGCCACAAGCCCACTGCACCCTTCAACAAACACGTATTCTCTTTCCAGCTCAATTCTCTCTTCTAAGGAAACCCTTCAGTCCTTATGCTTTTCTGCTTTCAACACTAAAGTTTCACGTTTGGATTTTTCACATAAAATACGTCAGAGAGTAGGTGGCAATAAGGGCAGGAACCAGGCTCACAGCTGAGCAGGAATTGTTCAGGAAGATGGAAAACAAAGGGCTTCCCTTCGTCTCAGGCCTGGAGCACTGGGGCACAGAGGCAGAGGGCTGAGACACAGAGGGCTCCCCCCTAGTCCTCCATAGACTCCTTTTATCTCCACACAGTGAACTATTCATGGCCATCAGATCATAAGGTTGAGGTAGATTCCCTCCTCTAGGTATGGGCTGAGGGAAGGGGGAGGCTGTGAGAAGACAGAGGGGCTGTTCTGACCTGTGTCCACAAGGACGTCTCTGTGGCTGATAGCAGAGCCAGAATCAAACTACAGCCCACAGGCCACTCATTTGGCACAATTTCCTCACAAGTGTCCATGGCTCAATGAGCCAGATTTGACTCTTAAGCTCATAAAAGCCCAGATCCTTCAGGATTGGTGGTTATGTGCACCTTCTAGTATGCAGTGGTCAGGGCACTAAGCAGTGGAGCTAGCAAGACACAAAACACAGCTCACACACACTGGTGATGCGGTGAAAGGCCGGCAGTATTGCGACGTCATGGTGCGGCACAGAGGGGAAGAGCTCGGCCTTTGCCTCCTCAGGGAAGTTGGGCAGGCTGTGGAGCAGGACGGTGGCCATGCTCCGGGAAGCCACTGACTACTGTGTTTGCGCTCCGCTGGCCAGTCCTGTCTCTGCCCACAGACTCTGGACAAGGATCAGAGAGAAAACCAACTCTTCTCCCCTTAGCCCAGCACCACTCTCAGGCCAACACTGGTCTCCAAAAGCAAAGAACAGTGACCAGCAGTCCCTCTCCCCTTCTCTTCCCACTGTCTCCCCCTGGCTGCTTAGAGGAGATAGAGAAAGAGGAAACTGAGATTAGCAGAAGAACAGGAGAGGCTCGCCCCTTCACCTTATCCCTTCTTGCCCGCCTCAGAGCCTTCTTATGGTACTGCCCATGATACCCAGATGCTTCATCTCATCAAGTGGTCTGGGTCCCAGAGCAACCATTGTCCAGGTCCTCTCAAGTGTGGGTGTGTTCCTTCTCCTGAGTTCCCAGCAGCAGCTGCCTTACAAATAAACTTCAGCACATCCCTCTGGGGTGACAGGGGCCAGTTTCAGTGTAAGGACTTACAGCAGCGAAGAAAATGGGGTGAGAGAGGCATTGAATGCTCATCTCAAGCAGCAGTCTAGAAGGATTGGTGGAAATGCAGCTCCCTGAAGCTCAGAGCCCAGGAAAGCGAGGACAAGTCTCGGCCCCTGTGTGGCAAGTCAGTTTTGCCACCTGGCCAGCCCACCCACACCCCTAGCACGAGACCCCAGTAGGTGATACTGTCTCTGTGCAGATTGAGGGAAGTAACAGATTGGGTAAGTCCATCACTTCTAATGAATGTTTTCCTAGTGTACTATGTTATATGCATGTATGGTAAAATACATACATATTTAAAGATACACATATTGTGCATTTCTTTTAAGATCTAGAAGAAGCTAAATGTATTTGCCTAATGTTTAGCAAGACTCTGTCTCAAAATAAAGAATGGCTGAGGATGTAGTTCAGTGTGAAGATCCTGAGTTCAATCCCCAGTATCTCACACACACACACACACACACACACACACACACACACACACACACGGGAAGATCAGAGAGAGAGAGAGAGAGCATAGAAACCAAGGGAGGAAAACGAGAAGTGAATGATGTGTTTAATAGATTCAAAGGCCATGGTCAAGCAAGATTTGCAGTGCTGTATGGAATTTCACAATCAGGAGCTTACAGGAAGTGATCTCAGAGAGAGCAGTCTTATGAGAGTGTTGAGGTCTGGAGGTTTGCAGGTAGGTAAGAGTAAGTTGAGTATGAAATGTGGGTGGTGAGTGTGACAGGCTGAGGAACTAGAGCATGAAACCAATGAAAGTGGCTGGAAGGATGTGGAGATGAGGGATGGAAAATTCCTTAATATGAGACTGGTAAACTTTGATATGCAGAGGGGAAATCAGTAGAAAAGAAGGCATAGAAGGCTGAGACATCACTGTGCTCTTCCTTCGTAGTTATATTCCCTTGCCCCTTTGCAACCCTTCTCTGAATATCTTGGTTTCTTGGGGTGAGTTGGGAGGCAGATACAGAAGACAGCTCCCTGACTTTGAGGACAGGTGGCTACGCTTATCCTCATTTTACCTTGTGGTTTGACCAGCTGAGAGACAGAGAGAGAGACCTCCTTTAGTTTCACCATTACAGCTCAGGATCTGCAATAATGAGCAGCACATAGCAGGTGCTCAGTCAGTGTATGGGAATCTAACAGTGTAGCTATTACAAAAGTAGTGAGTAGCTATCTATTTGAAATAATTTACTCTTATCCCTTTTTCACCAGGCAAGTCTGATCGTCTTGATTTTTATCCTCAGAAAGAGAATAAAATTGACTGTTGAGCTCTTCCAAGTCACAAATAAAGCATTCAGCAGCTCTCCTTTCCTGCTGTTCCAACCACTGTGGACGTTCGCCATCCTCATTTTCTTCTGGGTGCTCTGGGTGGCTGTACTGCTGAGCCTGGGAACTGCTGGTAAGAGACAGTGAGTATGGGCTCCACTCCCCTGGAGTTACACACAGACGTCACCATTTTGGAACCATTGACCTACTTCTGGGATGCCAAACCTCTCCTGCATCAGGGATACCAGATGACAGCATGGATAGCACTAAGGGGAAAGGCATGTGATTCTTTTCCCTCTTGTGTATGAGCCCTGGGCAAGCCAGGTGTGTGCTTCATAAGGTAGTAAGACAGAAAGCTTTCGGAAAAAATGATAATATGAACCAGGGTAGATAGAATATTATCAGATATTTCCAGGTTTAAGTTTTATCCACGGTACTTTGCTAACCCCTATTAAATCAATAGGTGATAAAGATCCTAGGAAAGACTTAAAAGTTAGGACCAGCTCAAATTTAAGTGCATAAAGAAGTTCACAACACTTTGGGTTTGATAAGACAGTTCTATATTCTATATCCTCCTGTCATATCCAAATGCAAGGGCTGTTCCTCAGAACTTTAGTACAGGTTTGTGGACTATATCAGGTTTGTAGGATTATGTGTGTGTTTGCATGTGTGCATGCATGTTTGTGTGTGTGTGTGTGTGTGTGTGTGTGTAAATGTCCCATAATAGGGCAACTATATTCTAGAGTAGTGTAGTTCAAAGCGCCGTTTGAAGGCAGATAAGGAGCTTATGTCCAGAATGTGTATCTCTCACTGCTTCTCTCACCACGAAATACAAACAGCTGAAAGAGTGATGTTCTCTTTAGTGCAGTTGGTCGGCACTGTGGCACGAGCTCCACATCCCATTGCAGACTAGTAAGGAATAATGTGAGGACAGGTTGCTATTCTGTGGGCCACCACCTTTGAGTGACACCGTGCTAGGTCTTTAACTCCTCTGTTTGATTTGTGACAGCCCAGATTCATACCCAGATGTGATCACAAGACAGTAAGTTGCTTTCTGAGACTGTCGCAAGGCAGTTGAGATCCACAGCAGATGTCACATTAACAAGAAGAATGCAGATCCTCAATGTTTTATCAAGCTCTGTTTGTCCCTTGTGACTCCAGTCAATTGAACCAATGTGTGTGCTCTTGCATAAGAGTATGTGTGAATATGCTCTTGTGTGTAAGAGCAACTGCCATACAGGGGACTCATAGTGAACTTGCTTCCTTCCTCCCCTGTGGAGTTGATTAATCCATCACAATCAAGATGGTCAGTAGCCCCTGAAACTCACAGTCTTTAGAAGCCTGTACTTCTATTTCAAAGATGCCATAAAGGCAACCTCTTCACATAGTCTCTGGCAGCTTTCTGAAAGCCTCCAGTAAACTTTGGGTTATTATCCAGAGAGAAACCATGGTCAGACAGATAGACTAAGATTAATAAATCTGAGATTTGCCCAGAAGATAAAGAAAGCTCAAAGCAACAGATGCTTAAACAAGATGTGAGGTAATATCTGTCACAGATAGATGAAATCTGTGAGTGGACCCATGCCAACATGGTCCTCTGGAAGTCAAGGACCCAGGTACTTTCTGTTCTACAACCTCTAACACTTGCTTCCATTGAAATAGCCATTTGGGCTCCATTATTTCACCATTTAGAAGATAGCAAGGAGGAAGATGAGCGTGGCCACTCCCAGAAGTTACGGGCAGTACTTAACCGTCTATATCCCTGGCCAAATCCTAGGTACCTAGTAATCCCCATCTGCAAGGAGGGCCAGAAAATGTAGTTTCATTTTGTTCATCCGTGCCCATTTGAAAATTTAGAAATTCTATTACTAACTGGAAGGGCAAGCAGAAACACTGAAATGACACCCAAAATTTGGAGTCAGATTTATTTTATGTCAACAGGAACTGCTTAGAACCATTCCCAAAATATCAGGCCCTGATTGCTGTTTGTGCAGAGCTTATGTGTGATACTCAAGCAGGAAGTATAGAGACAGAATGGCTTGTCAGTTGGGGACTGGTTCTTACAATATGCATCACGGTGAGCAGACATTTCTAAGAAACAAAAGTAGCAAGAACTGGAACTGGAAATATTATGTAGTCAACTAAAAAACTGAAGTATGCTGGCTGTGGGGCATCTTCTTCATAACAACAGATGTCAGCAGACATTGTGAGACAGTGAGAAGTGTCCCCCAAGCTAAGGCCAAACAGTCCGCGTGTATCTCACTGGTTTGCAGTGGTCTCTGTCCTGGTCAGGAGAAAGGGCAGATATCTTTGTGCATGAAGGGAAAGAGGCATGAATTGAAAGTGTCTGAGATTCTAAGTTCTGTACTGAGTACTTTCTTTTAATCTCCTTTGTTTAGGTGCTATTCTGAAGTTACAGTGAAGAAAACAGGTTCTGAGTAAGCCATTTGCTGATGGTCAGACATCAAGAAGGTGTCCCATCCCTGCTTTTGTCTTTTTGAGACAGGGTCTCACTGTGTAGCTCAGTCTGGCTTTGAACTCAATGTATGTAGTCTACGCTGGCCTCAAACTCACGATAGTCCTCCTACCTCAGCTTCCAAAATGCTGGGATTTCAGATATGCACCACTACACCTGGCTCTGGGGCCCTCTGACCGCACAGCTCCAGCATAGAACCAGCACTCTTCTCGCTAACTCACTTCTGGGACAAGGCACTGGCCCACCTTGGGAGTGGGTAGCCTGGAGATTACCAGAGGTCTGAAAAATACAGAAAAACAAAACAACAACAACAAAAAGATTAAGTGAGGGTCAAGACAATAGCAGAGGAGGACCTGGTCATAGGAGGACCTAGGAAGAGCCCAGTCCTGAGAGCTGAGAACTAAAGTCACAGAGGAACAGCCCCAAGTCTGTCTTAGTGGTGAGCTTCCTTTGGGGTTGCTATGCACAGCTAGAAAATGTAAATTACACTGCTTCAGGTCTGTCTGTTCAGGGTGAAGCTGGCTGGCAGACACCCGTAATGGAGTATCTGGGGCCTATAACTGCAAGGCCAGAGGTTGACAGCCAGGGTGAGGTGTTGGGCAAGATGGAAGGGGACCGCACAGCAGTTTGTGGCCGTGTGGTACCTGAGTCCTTGCCCTAGCGAATTGCCAGAGACACTGACTTTTGGGCAGCATGGCCCAGGGTCAGTGAGGGAGCTTCCTTTAGCACCTCTCAAGAGCACAGCGCCAGTGGCTGTGAGGTGGGTGAGGGAGCTGTGTCTGTGCCACACCCAGGGTGTCTTGGAATAGCACACACCCATTCATTCTTCAGTTCACAAATATCTGATGAATGCTGTGAAGCAAGGCCAAGGCCCAAGGGAGAGGTGAGGACTCAGGCCCTGGTGGACTCAGGACTCAGAGGAAAGCAGGATGGGCTGAAAAACATGATCACAGGTGAGGCGCATGACCATGATGAAAAGAGAGATACAACAAGGCACTGGCTTATTCTGGGAGTCACGGAGCTTCAGAGAATAGGCTAGACATTGCCAGGAGACCAGAAATACAGAAAGAGGCACCCCAAAAAAGTTTTTATTGAAGGGTTCAAACAATATCAAGAGATGACCCAGTCCTAAGAATTGGGGGCTAAATCAGAAAGGAACAAGCCCCAGTGCCAGCTTAGGGTGAGCTGCAGCACAGTGCCATCTATCTTCCTCCTGCTTGGGTCCAAGTTGGGCCTAGGGCTCACAGGGCATTGGAGATTCTCAGCCACCAGACTGAGAGCAGGAGAGAAGGGAGGCCGAGGGTTGTTCCTCGGGGCTGGAGGTAGCTTATTGCTCTAACCCTCATAGGATCAGAGAATGAGTGTAAGAGTTCTCTGCCACTGGGAGGAGCAAAAAGAGCAAGAGTAAGAGGAATAGGGTCAGTGTGCTGGTCAGCTTTTCTTTACTGTAACAAATACCTGAGATAAATCAGCTTACAAAGAGGAAAGGTTCATTTTGTGTCACAGCTTTAGAGATTTCAGTTTAAGATCAGTTGGCCCCATTGCTTAGGCTTTCTGGTGAGGACCCAGTACATTATGGCCTTATGACAGGAAGCACATTCACCTCATGGCCAGATGCAAAAAAAGAAATAGCCAGGGGCTGGGGATTTAGCTCAGTGGCTTAATCGCCCGCCTGGCAAACCTGAGGTCATGAGTTCCATTTCCGGCACCAAAAAAAGAAAAAAGAAATAGCCAAAGATCAGGGTCCCCTAATCCTTTCAAGAGTCTGCCCCAGTGAACTAAGATTCTTGCTAGGCCTCACCCTCTAAGGTTCAGTAGTCTCCCAATTGTGCTGCTCTGGGGAGCAGGCCTTTACTACATGGGCCTTTGGAGGCTATTGCAGATGCAAAGCAGGCAGCACCCGAGTGGGATCTGTGTCCCCATGTGTGAACTGATCTTTGGCTCTGAAGGAGAGAAGATGTCACACAGAACCAGGCTTCCCTCCCTATCCCCATCACGGAAACCAGATTGGCCCACTTCCTGGGGCCACCTGACTGCCCTGCACGCACTTGTGAGCTGGCCAGGTGCACAGAATCCCCTTTGTCCTAAAAGGCGTTTTCACCAATGCCAAAGTTACCTCGCTGCGGCCTGGGCCAGGCAGCAGCTGCTTCACTTTTTGATCTTGGCACTGTGAGAAAAAGTGAGCTGCTTCCACATTTTATGAAATGTCACCCACTAAATCACCTGGAGGTCACCTTGCCCACCTTGTCTCCTTTAATGTCCTCGGGGACAATGATAATGACAACTCAATTCAGTCTGGCACCCAATTTTGTTTAGAGTATTGCTTGGTAGGTAATAAGCAACGAAGTTTTTTTTTTTTAAATTGGGTCAGATAGTTTTGTTAATTTATGAAATAATTTAGTATCCTAACCTACAAAAGAAAAGGAATGAACTTGGTGAATCATGTCTGCCGAGATGAACTATTCCTTCAGTGACTGTCACTCAGCCTCTTAACTAATAGGTGAATTCTGGCTTGTTCAGGGATCCTTTCAACAGAGCATACCACTACCGTTCCAGCAATAACATTTACTAGTCCTGTGGGGCTTGTGGGCTTCCCATATTGTGATAGTGACTAGTATAAACAATGGGGGGGGAGGAAGCCAAGCTAAAACCTGCAA